GTGAAGCCTGATACTTTCAAATTGAAGGATGCTGAAGGAAAGATGCTCCCTTGGACCTGGAATGTTGACAATCTCCGCAAGTACTATCAGTAGAGCACAGTAGTACTACTTGTTTTATGTGTTATGTCTTTAGTATTGTGTGTTTTCTCTCAATCTCTTTCACAAAGATTAACGTCATCAAGCAAGGCTCTGACAAAACAGCCTCGGATAGACCTTATATCCTTAAAGGATTCTTCAAAAATCATTCACACAAGTTGGAGTGCATTTATTAAAAGCCTCAAACAGGTCGAGTACCTTAAAAGAGCATAAAGAAAAATTTTCACTCAAGTTGAAATAAGAAAATTGAAATAATCTTCACTAATAAATACATCAGCAATCCATTACTAAATTAAAGTAGACATCACACATGTCAACACAAACGCCTAATACAAATGAAAATAAAAAAGGTACTAAGAAAGATAAAGTAGTACAGCTGACAAAGATCTACTCTATCTCCACTATCTCATCATCAACCTCTAAGGCAAAGGCCTTCTGCAGCTCGCTCTCTATCTCGTCGCCATCAGAGTCTGAGGGAAAGTCATCTGAGGCCTGACTAGGTGTCAGCCCCTCAACCTCAACTCCGGTCTTCCACTGCACCAGATGAACCCCCTTCAAGAAGCCTCGAATGAATCCTTCCTCAATGCACTGCTTCTCTAAAGCCTTCACCTCTAATTCATAAATGTGATCACGGGCCTCCTGAACGTGATCCTGGATGACGATCTTGAAGGCTACAAACTTCTTGAAATCTTCAATGACTCTCGAAGATTCAAGGCCGGTCAGAACGGCCTCCTTCCCAGCAATAAGAGTCTGGGACCTCTTATTCTCAGCTTCAAGCACTGCTATCTTCTCTGCAGAGGATTTATGATCTTTCGAGAGCTGAGTGATCATCGATTGTGCCTCCACTAGGTCGATCTGAAGCCGATCTGTCTGATGATTCTGAAGGGAAGCAGAGTGCACCATATTTGCCAACTCAGTCCTGCACTCGCACAATTCTTCCTCCAACACCTTCATCTCTTTGGCCTTCATATTATACTTCCGCTTGAACTCTCCATGAAGGTACTTGACCCTCACAAATTCGTCGTTCCAATGGTTCAAAGCTTCAGTAAGTTCCGTACGTCGCGACAACTGAAATAAGAAAGAAAAACATATTAGAGGTCAGTTTAAAAGAAAATGAAAGAAAAAGTATCAGGGGAAGGTTGTGTACCAAGTCATTAGCTTTGCGACGCTCAATGCATTGATGACTCAAAACATCCTCAAGAATACGAATCTTGGTAGGAGAAGAGACAGGTGCAGCCTTGCTCGTAGCAACCCCCTCCAACTTTTTCTTCTTCAACAAAGCCTAGGGATCTTCACCTCTCGCCTGTCTCTTGGTGGCCGCCTTTGGAACTGCGGGGGATCTTGGAAGTCGGTTTTAGCATCCTTGCATCTGATCTCTCAGCGTGGAATGACAGCCCAATCCTGAACAGAAACTCTTCTTCTATGTATTTATTCAAATAACGAACCTCATATAGAAGATGCTCGACGTAAGGGACCTTAAGAATCCTCTTGATATCTTTCTCTCCGACATGCAAAGGGACAGACATGTCCCTCAATCTCCCCCAATTCTCCGTCAGGCCCCAATCATTTTTCACGAAGAAAAATGCACTGGACCAACTCTCCGCAGGATCCCGAGTACGCATGTCCAACCATTTGGATCTGAAAGTAACACGCCCCTGTGCGTCGCTGGTAAATCGGCCCATCCGGGAAAGACGTTAAGGTGTCAGAACGGCCCCTCGATCTCTGAAAAATGTTATCAACCCGATCGTCACCGACATGCCTCTGTACGTAAATTGGGATAGAGACATCCCACAATGCATCAGAATCTCGATCAACTCAGCAGGAGGAGGAAAGCGCAGCCCTGATCGCAAACGGGTCTCACAAATGGTCAAGTACCCGGACGGAGGAGCGCCAGCCCGATCAGACCTCTTAGGGACCACCGCCACCAATTCATTTGGAAAGTGGAACTTCTTGTGAAAAATAGTCAGAGTATCACTAGTGACGGTGGATGCCAGATCATCTGCCCTCGCTCATTTATCAGGCCTCCGCCCGCCGTCAGCGGAACGGCAAGATTTTCCCTAACCGCATAATCTCTCAAAGGAAAGTGGTCGCCCGACATTACTCCAGTATAGGGAGGGGCCCTTATGTTGGACAATGGATACTGATTGACCAAGGGTGAGGGAAAGCCTCCGTATAGCAAGAGCGCCGAAGGGAGAGGGAGAAGACTCTTTCTCGCAAAGAGGGGTCCTGTTGTTAAACAATGGATACCAATTGTCCAAGGGGCCGAGAAGGCCTCTACTAAGAGGAGATGAGAGGGAGAAAACTCTTTCTCACAAAGAGGTGCTCTGCTGTTAGACAATGGATACCAATTATCCAAGCGGCAGAGAAGGCCTCTACTGAGAGAAGAGAGGAGAAGGAGAAGGTCCAAGGAATAAGGCCCATGGGGGGTCTATTTATAGGAAGAGAGGAGTTAAAAAAATCGGGTGCCACGTCAGCGCCACGTCATCAATCCACCCTGCAAATGGGCGCCATGCCACTGATCCGTCATATGTGTCATTGCCACGTCATCGATCTGTCCTGTATGGCACTGCCACATCATCCATGACCCAACATATCATTTATGACACGTCAGCCACGATCTGCGTGTCGTGGCCATGTCACCCACGATCCTGCATGTCGTGGCCACGTCAGCCATGACCCAACAGGTCATGGGTGCCACATCAACCACGATCTATGTCGTGGCCACGTTAGCCATGACCCAACAGGTTATGGGTGTCACGTCATCGATCCGCATGTCACTGCCACGTCATCAATCCGCATGTCGCTGCCACGTCATCACCTCAAAAAATCCATGCATTCCCCTGGATTCGAACCCAAAACCTTGGGCATGAATGGCAAAAGTTTTACCACTCATCCACTAAAGAAGAGTTGATATTATTATACCTATTTTATTATTTAAACTATAAGTTACAGAATATATTTTGACCCAATTTTGGTCCCGAAAAGGTCAAATCGAAAGTTTTTGGGGTCCCCGAAACCGTTTTTTGACGTTCCTGACTCAATTTTGACACTTTTAAAGTGTTTCGGGACCTCTACACCCACGATCGGACTACATTCAAGTCACGTGAAAAAATTTTCGCCGGCTACAATGCATATTTTCGGACTCCTAGAGATTCGACATCCGAAAATAGGGGGCAATCGTACAAAAATTATCTTGATCGGGCACTAATCTCAAAGCAAAATCAAGTTGGAAACTTTCGAAATCAAAATCAGGAGCATCTGAACTCCGATTTCAGCAAACTTACAGTCGAACTGAGCGTCTCGAAAATATGAACCCAATGACACCAAATTCGACCCAATCCGACCCCAAATGGATCCAAATCAAGGATCTGAAGCACTGATGGAAAGTTCAAACCACAATTCGGACTACCAAACGGCTTCCAAACATAACAAACTTATAGTCGAATCGAGCGGCTCGACGAGACGAATCCAACGGGCCCAAGATCACTGAATTCCGACATCACTACAACACTCAAAAGTCCATCGAACGGTTCATGATCAAGGGATTCAAGATCGACCGTCCATTCAACCACTCCCAACTAACCCTTGATCCTCCACCTATTTACGGGCCATGTCATTCTCAAAATCTATAAATAGAGCCCCCTCTCCTCTTGAAAAAGGACCCCTGAGCCTAAGGAAAAAAGAGAGAGATCGGAGATCGCTCTTGCTTCCTAGCCTCCTCGACCACCGCCGGAGTTTCGCCGGACCACCGCCGGAGTTCCGCCGGAGTTCCGCCGGACCACCACCTGCTACCTGATGCTCTACGCTCCGCCAGTCTTTCACTTGAAGCTCTCATCTTTGCTAGGCCATCGTTGAAGACTCTCACCTTTGCCAGACCTTCATTTAAGGCCCGAAGTTCTTCCAGATCATCATCTAAGGCTCGAAGTCCTGCCAAACCATTACCTGACATCCTGACTTCTATTGTACAATTGTTACTTGTAATCTGATCGCTCACATAAGCGAGTCAGCACATTATAACCACTCAAGTTCTAGTGAAACCTTTTCAACTGGGCTAGGCCCCATGGTTTTTCCCCTTTTTAGGATTTTCCACGTAAAAAATCCTGTGTTCTGTGTGTGTGAACTGGATATTCGTGCAACGCTAAGACGTAGTATTCTAACTCTATCGCCGGGTATATTCTAGTCCGCAACAAGTCTCATTCAAGGTTGTGAAAATCGGATCAAACATCAAATTGAAAAAATGAAATATTCAAAGTTCAATGGTTCGATCAGGGTTGAACTAGATGACATAATAAATATTAAATATATTTAAATAAAAATCAATAATATAATAATTATGTGATCATATAAATTTGTGATTCAAAAATAAATATGATTCACATATAAACTTAAATTTTTTATATTAATTATTATTAATTTATATTACATATTTAAATAAAATTTACAACTACAAACTATATACTAAATTCATATTATAAACTTACAATTATAAATCATTTACAATTAATAAAAAGATAAAATTAATTTTTAATAGTCTACAATTAAAAAAAATTAAAAATAAACTTCTCTGTACCCAGTGCATGAGCTCCCATTAATGAAAGATCTCAGGAGAGGTTAATTGCAGCATTAACTCCAAGCTTTCAGAAAACTTGTTTCCGTGACAATGAATAATAAACTTTAATATACTAATATTTCTACACTTCATCACACTTTAATAGTAGGATTCTACGGCATAATTCTGGCAAACCATCATACCTCTTTTTAAAAGGAAAGCTGATAGGCTTTACTCGCAAATGTAATGATAATTCCAAAGAAGTATTAGCTAAGTTGTTATAAGATAACACGTATCAACATCATTTTTCCATAAGCATTACATTATATTTAATTACGCAACTAATGTACCGCACCTCATCATCATATAGAGTATTTGTTATCCATCCATTTTCTTTTAGCCTTTCAACTTGATAAACTCCTGAATTGATAAATTCCTCAACCTCCTCCTTAGTCTTTCCTGACACAAAATTCAGAAACGAAGTTAAAAAAGAATCAGGGCGTGGAAAATTCAAACTTATCAATACTTTCAAAAGAGTGATAAAACCTTGAGTTGATGAAATTATTTCTAGCCAATTTCCATAGATATCATCAAGCAGTGATGTCAGCATCTCACAATTTTCTTTTGACATGCTTTTTCGTGCCAACTGATCCCCAGCACTTTTATATTTGCCAATTCGCTGAATCTGTGGCTCAACTCCAACTTTTTCAAGAACACCTGTAGGCAAGTCAACGGTTAAATAACAGTGATATATAACGAGTCAAAATTTATGAGTATGAAGCTAGGGCAGTTAAATAAATGTTTAATGAAAACCAAGAGTATCTCTGATTTAGGACTAGCATCTGAAGACTTGCATTATGAAATTAAATATAAGTTAAATTTAAAATCAGCAAGCTATTAATCATGGGGATGTGTAAAACAAGCTTCAAACAAGTAAGAAACACAATCCATAAATAGCAATTAACCACAACCAAAATTCTAGAATTCAAGAAGGATAAATCAAGTCAACAACTTAGCTAACATGGGTTGGCAAAAAAATCCAATATTTAACATAGATCAGTCACTACGAGAACTATGCACTCAATGATTTAAGAAGCTAGCATGTTTAAATTAACATGAAAGTAGTGATGCCACAGAGAATTGGACTTCAAAACTATCTACTTAAATGTATGAAGTAAGAGTAGAAAGACTTAGGTATTTGCGTCGCATGGAAGCTTCCTTTAGATGGGGTGTGGTCTCAGCCGGTTGATCCTCAAAGGGTTGCTCCATAGTGCCTTCCTTATGTCTTGCTTAACAGTGGAGAAGAAGAGATGTTGGCCGAAATTTGGAATGAGGGAAGCGACAATTTTTGCTATTTGGGGGAGATTAGGAATGATATGAGATTAATTAGAGAGGTGGGGCTTAGTGGAATGGGAGAGAGTGAGATTGGAAAATGGAAAAATTGTTTTTGGAAAGTGAAAAGATAAAGTTAACTTTGCAATTAATGGGTCAACTTCCCTATTAGAGAAATTGACTTCTCTATTGATCTTTTGCCTGGTGCTGCGCCTGTTTCGAAACCACCATATCGCATGGCAATTAAGGAACTGCAAGAGCTCAAGGGCCAATTACAGGAGCTGTTATAGAAGGGGTTTATTCGCCCAAGTACCTCACCATGGGGAGCACCCGTTCTTTTTGTTAAGAAGAAGGATGGTAGCATGCAGCTCTGCATTGATTAAAGAGAGTTGAACAAGCTTACCATCAAGAACAAGTATCCTTTGTTGAGGATAGATGACTTGTTTGATCAGCTTGTAAGAGCCACAATCTTTTCCAAGATTGACTTGAGATCCAGCTACTATCAGTTAAGAATTAGAAAGGAGGATATCCCTAAGACAGCTTTTAGCTCAAGGTATGGACACTATGAATTCATAGTGTCACCTTATGGGTTGACAAATGCTCCAGCTGCTTTTATCTGATGAATCAGGTCTTTAAGCCGATGCTCGACAATTTTTTCATCGTCTTCATAGATGATTTTTTGATATATTATTGTGATGAAAAACATCATGACAATCATCTTCAAGTTGTGTTGCAGATTTTAAGATGCAATGAATTATATGTCAAGTTCACCAAGTGTGAGTTTTGGCTGAAGAGCGTAACATTTCTGGGTCATGTGATTAGTGGTGAAAGCATTACAGTTGATCAGCATAAGGTGCAGGCTAGAGCTGAGTGGCCCAGACCGACGATCATTACTGAGATACGAAGTTTTCTTGGGTTAGCAGACTAGAAGATTCGTTGAGTGATTCTCCAATATTGCTGCACCATTGAGTAAATTGACTCAGAAGGCAGTGAGGTTTGAGTGAAGCAATCAATGTGAAAAAGCATTTGAAGAGTTGAAGACTTGCTTGATGACTGCACTGATCCTCACTACTCCTTCAGGCACTGAAGGTTTTCAGATTTTTAGTGACGCATCACTAAGGGACTTATGATGTGTCTTGATGTAGCACGGGAAAATAGTTGTCTATGTTTCTAAACAATTGAAAAATCATGAGAAAAACTATCCAACTTATGATTTGGAGCTTGTTGTTGTAGTCTTTGCTTTGAAGAATTGGATGCACTACCTATATGGGGTGCGTTGTGAAATATTTACTGATCACCAGAACTTGAACTATATCTTCATGCAGGAGCTGAATTTAAGGCAAAGGCGATGGATTGAATTACTTAATTATTATGATCTGGATATTCAGTATCATCAAGGGAGGACAAATGCCATTATTGATGCCTTAAGCAGGAAAATGCCTATGAAGGTGAATTGCTTATTGACCCAGCATGAGAAGCTGGTTGAGTAAATTGAACGCTTGGAGTTGTTTGTAATACTTTCTATGACTGAGAATGTGGGATGTTTAAGTTAAATGATAGTGCAGTTTGATTTGAATAGTAAGATAGCTAAAACATTGCTGAGGGATCCTGATTTTATGAAGATTATGGATATGGTTAGGGCAGGCCATGATGAGGATTTTACTATTGATGAGAATGATCTTCTGTGGTAAAGATGCAGAGTTTGTGTGCCAAATGTGGATGACTTGAGGAGGGATGTTCTCTATGAAGACGATCATTCGGGTTATATCATTCATCCATGTAGCAACAAGATGTATCAAGACTTGAAGGGCTTATTTTGGTGGCTTGGGTTGAAGAGCGTGGCTGATTATGTTGTGAAATGTGCCACTTGTCAATTAGTCAAGGTTGAGCATCAAAAGTTAGGTGGATTACTTCAACCATTGCCGATCCCATAATAGAAGTGGGATGATATTGCTATGGATTTCGTGATAGGCTTACCGAGATCTTGACAGGGTCATGATGCTATTTGGATTATCATTGATAGACTTACGAAATCTGCTCACTTTTTGCCTATTCGACAGACTGACTCAGTCGAGAAGTTAGCAATGTTGTATGTGGAAGAGATTATTCATCTGCATGGTGTACCGAAGTCCATAAAATATGATCGTGATGGTAGGTTTACCTCTAGACTTTGGAGTAATGTTCAAGAGGTTATGTGTACCAGATTGACTTTCAGTGCAGCATTTCATCCTCAAACTGATGAACAATCTGAGTGTACTATACCAACTCTTAAAGATTTGCTTAGATTGTGTGTTCTTGATTTTGGTGGAGGTTGGGAATCTCACATTCTTTTGATAAAGTTCGCTTATAATAACAACTTTCAAGCCAGCATAGCAATTGCTCCATATGAAGCACTCTATGGAAAGAAATGTGGAACACACGAACGGAAAATGATTGGCTCCGATTTGGTTGATGACGCTACCAACAAGATCATAATTATCAGAGATAAGCTATGAGCAGTACAAGATAGACAGAAGAAGTACTATGATGCTTTTCACCGCTCTGTGAAATTCAATATGGGAGATTTTATTTTCATTAAGCTATGAAGGGTGTACAACGCTTTAGAAAGACTGACAAGCTTAGTCCCCGTTGCATTGGTCCTTCTGATATTGTGGAAAGGATTAGAAATGGGGCCTACATATTGGCCTTACTAGCTAATATGTATGTTGTACACAACGTGTTTCATATTTCTTCCCTAAAAAAAAAATTTATGTCAGATGATCCTTCTAAGATCATAATAGAACATACGGAAATACAGCCAAATCTTACTTATGTTGAAGAGCTAGACCGTGTTTTGGAGTATATTGTAAAGCAACTCCGAAGGAGAGACATACCTTTTGTTAAGATTCTAAGGAAGTGCTGATCTGAGAGGGACACTACATGGGAGAAAGAATCATAAATAAGGAAATGATATCCTCATCTCTTTGATTAAGGTATACTTTGTCCCTCTTATTTTAACTTCGATGACGAAATTTTTATTTGGAGAGGAGAATTGTAAAACCCAAAAGTGTCGAACCGTAGTGTTGCAACGTGTTGCGACGCACTGAGACGAAAATAGGCGAATTTACAAAGTTGTCGAAATTCGACAAAATAATTTTTATAAAATTCTACATAAAATTTCAAACAATTTGGTACAAAAGACTTAGGGTTAATTTTACTTAGATTTAAAATTAAAAATTAGGAAAGTCTACTTAAAGACAAATGACTAAATAGCCCTTCTCGATTCTTAAGAAAATTTTTACATGTCCTCACATGCGTCATTTCCCTTACCCCACCACACAAATAAGCTCAAGAAGATCCAAAACTTTCGGTCTCTTCATTCTTTTTTTTTCGGCCGAAGGAAGGAAAGAGCAGCGGCGACGTCGGTTTTCCAACAAAAGTTTTGCACGCGGGGGAGGGGGGGATCAAAGGGGTAGGTTTAAACCTTCTACTTCGATTCCCCCCCCAAAAAAAAAAACTTCCGTCGGAAAACTGTCGTCGTTGTCACCCTAGCCTTGCTTCCGCCACCTTCTCCCTCTACTTCCTTCGATCGAACAAAAAGAATGAAGGAACCGAAAGGTTGAGCTTATTTGGGCAGTTGGATAAGGGAAAGGACGCATGTGCCCTCACATGCAAAAAGTATCATAAGAATCGGGAAGGGCTATTTAGACATTTGTCTTTAAGTAGAGTTCGTCATTTTTTTAATTTCAAATCTAAGCAAAATTAAACCTAAGTCCTTTATACTAAATCACTCGAAATTTTATGTAGAATTTTATAAAAAAAAAAATTTGTAGAATTCCGAGAAATTTGTATATTCTTCTATTTTCGTCTTGATGCGTCGCGCCACGACGGTTCGACATTTTCGGGTTTTACATAACCTTAAGCCCATATTTTTTTGCTTTAGTCATAGACGTTCTCACTAGAAATTTGCAAGAGGGGGTATCTTGGTGTATGTTTTTTGCTGATGATATTCTTCTTGTTGATAAGACTAGAGAGGGAGTTGAAGCTAAACTTGAATAATGGAGATCAACCTTTGAGTCTAAGGGTTTTCGCTTGAGTAGATCTAAAACAGAATATATAGAGTATAATTTTAATAGTAATAGACCTAGTGAGGGGATTGTGACTTTGGGCGATCAAGTCATTAATAAGAGTATACATATTTTAGATATATTGGATCTATTGTTCATAGTGATGGTGAAATAGATGGGGATATTATCAACAAAATTCAAGTTGGATTGTTGAAGTGGAGGGATGCATCGGGCTTGTTGTGTGATAGGAAAGTCCCCCTCAAACTTAAGGGAAAACTCTATAATATGGTAGTGAGACCTGCAATGCTTTATGATGTCGAATGTTGGCCATTAAAAGAGAAGCATAATACTAAGTTAAGTGTTGCAGAGATGAGGATGCTCAGGTGGATGAGTGGCTTTACCCTTGGAGATAGGATATGAAATTAGCATACATGTGAAAATGTTGGAGTTGCTCCAGTGAAAGATAAGATTAGAGAGACTCACCTTAGATGGTTTGGTCACTTAAAACAGCAGCCTTCCGATGACTCGGCTAGGAAAGTAGAGGTATTAAATTTGACTTATCTTAAGAAAGGTAGAGGTTGACCTAAAAAGATTTGGTTAGAAAATATTAGAAATGATCTTTATTTATTAGATTTAAACGAGAATTTAACTTTTAATATGATACTATAGAGAAAAAAGATTCATGTAGCCGACCCCATGTAGTGGGACAAAGGCTTGATATTGTTGTTGTAGATTCTGTGAAACCATAAGCCGGAAGGCAGCTAAAACCAAGTAACCAATTACGTTTTAAGGGTAGATTGTCTGGACATGACCAAGTAAATTGTTGTGACAAGCCCGATCCTGAGTTATATAGCACTAAGGACTACAAGAATAACTGATGCAAGATAACATCTCAAGTCACCCATTTGAAAAAGACATAGGCTCTCAGAGGAATTCAAGTTTTATTATTACATTTAATATGGGACAACACGTCCAAGTAACAGAGATTGTTTTCATTATAAATGATTCGATAACATATTAAACAATGTGATGTAGAACACACATGTAAAGATTTGTTGCTTAAAGAATTTGCATGCTTAATATGTAAAGAACATAATAATTATATCTTTCAGTGAGTTTAAAGGACGAGATAAAATACAAAGAGCGGTAACACAAGCTTAGGCCAAATCACATGCGTAGGAATTAAGATCGTAAAACAATCAATTTAATCTAACGTTGCATACATGGATGGTTTTCAACAAGAAATTCCAATGTTAACGATAAGATTAGTTATTATGCAATGATCCCTCAATCAACTCTTCCAATTACTAAGTTTTAGCGGAGAAGCATTAACATTATCTTCATGAATATAATAAAACCACAATCGAGAATGCAACTATGAAGATAACGAGTCCGATGTCGAGTTTACTCAAAGACAAGAGGGATACAAACTTCGATAAGGTCGTTTGAATGTTGGAAAAGAAATGGGCAGCGACCACAAACCTTCATGATGTTGTTGGACAACAATCTGGAAGTCATGGGTGGCAGGGCAGCAATAAGAGATCACGGAAATTACTGGAAAGCAGCTATGAGCATTTAAAACAATTCTGGACAGCCACCTATAAGGCTTAGGAAAACCTTGGACAGCTGCTATGGGATGTTTGGAGCTTTTGGACAGCAATTAGTGATGTCCAAGGGTGCCGAGCAATAAGACACCTTGCCGAAAATTGTTGACTGAGAGCCTGAATTTCCTGGGTAGTAGAGGGAGGCGTGATGGGGGGGAAAGGTTTGCAAGGGCGGCTAGGTTTGGGAAGGAAGATGGGGATTTGACTTAGAGGAGGGAAAACATAAATAGGAAAACCTGAAATTAATAATTTCAGGTTTTCAAAGGGAGAAAGGGAATTGATTTAAAATTCAAACTAACCCCAAATTGGAACCAATATGGTACCGGCGGTTAAGGGGCAAGGAAGGAAATTTTAATTGGTGTTAATGGGTTAATTGGAGAGAGATGGGGACGGAGATGGGCCGGCCATATGGGAAGGAGGATTAGATGTCTAGGTTCAATATATGTGGGCCCCAAGGATTCAATTACGGATTTAAATCAAATCTGAATTTTAATTTCAGATTTCATTTAATTGAGGGAGTTTCCTAATTGGAGTTTATTAATAGGGAAGGTATTTGAAATTCAAATATTTATTGAATTCAAAATACACCTTTCCACATTAATAGCAAATTAAATTAGGAAAGTAATTATGGGTGAATTTAAATTTTGAAATTCAAAATAAGAAAAGGGAGGGGCCAGTGGTTTGGAAGGTTAAGGGGAAAGAGGTTGGCGGGTGGAGGTGGTGGATGGGCTAGGCCAGCGGGAGGTGAATGGATGAGGGGAGGCTGGCGGTTGGGGTGACCTGTGGGATGGTATGGATGCAGGGAGCCGACGGTCTAGGGAAGATGGGAGGTTGCCGGCTACCTCTAGGGAAAAGAAAGAAACGATAAGAAAATACTACGAATACTAACCGCGAGTCCTGGAATCCACCGGCGGCTGACGGGTGATGTGTGGCCCTCTCGAGGGTTTCTCCTCTCAAGAACTCACAAAAAGATCAAGAACAAGAAAGCTGAATTTTCATTAATAGTCATTCATTCATTAACCTCATAAGAGGAAAAGAGGGCTATAAATAGGCCCCCTACAATAACAAAACAAAAGACCAAATTATCCCTTGAGGTCACATGCATCTAGTCCCTCAAGTGAGGGTAAAAACGGAAAAGAACGCTAAAATAATAAAATTATAATACATCAAACAGAAATAAAAGATGCGAGCATAGCCGTAGATCTTCGATGTCTCCTCGCGCTAGAATATCCTGTAGATGTCCTCATCACAATGTCCTAAGGATCCATTTTATAAGGTAAGGTTCCTAATAAGAACTAAAAAACTTATCAACAAATGGCTGAAATAACCCAAAAACATAATAACATGAATGAATGAGGTCCAGTGGATATAAATGACTCAAATAACAAGACAGCTAGCGCTAACAATGATCCAACATATATTTAGCTGCAGTGAATGGTGATTCTAATAATGTCATGTTATGAGGATTCATAATATAAAATTTGATTACTTCATTTAAGCTAATCATACAGACTTACAAAATTTGAATTGAAATGAGAAATTAAAAAATAGGTAAGTGTCAAGTCCATCACAATCAATAGGTAGGAGCATGAGATTTAAGGATGGCTTGATGCAGGCAGTTTTAGCACTGCCTTGATAGGGAAATTGTGTGTGTTATTAGTGCTCACGACTTGAGAGTAACCTAACCACACCCATCCCAACCTCCAATCTCATAATGATCCACATCGCTAATCAAGAGCATTTTTTTTTCCGAGTGTACGCCACTATTTTTACTGATAAGGCACAAAAATCAAAAAGTTATGCTTACCGCCAAGGAATGAAGCTTGCACAGTCAAACCATACAATGCGACATAAGCACTAGGTGGCGTGTACACCTCTCCACATGCACAAGCAAGATAATATTCTTTCTCTCCACAAATTGGAATGTAGCTTACCGTGAACTTACCTGCAAAGAGCCATGTGAAGTTATAAACCATATGAATATGATAGAAAGACTGAGAATTCATCACCAAGTCAATGCTACAGAAATTATTGTCAGCTTTATAGAATCAAGTGTCCGACCTTATTCAAAGCATTGGTCAACAACCTACGGGCACATGAATGAAACAGATGTTGACTATTTGGTACCATATCCTATTTCCATGTTTCTTATTCCACAAGTCACAGAAATATTATCAATCTTTTTTTTTTTAAGGACAGATTTGCACGAGAATTTTTGTACATGGTGTCTACGTGTGATGACATTTGTTAAATACAATGGTTAACCAGGTCAAATTATTTCAATAAATATATAAATATGGATTTTTTTAGAGAAAGGCCAGCAAAGCCTACTTATTAGAAGATACTAAGGTAGTAGATACAAGTTGATTGTGAGCCGATGATTCGGTAATGTCCATGAAAGATCACTTTCATTAAAAACAATTACATGTATGAACACCTGAAGCAACGAGCCAATAAGCTGGTTTAACACTTACATTAGATATGTGACATGCAAAACTTTATATCCTTAATTATTGAACTCTTAAATGTATTCAACTCGAGTCATTCATTTTTACAAGATATCATCATACTGAGTCTCATTCTAGCCGAGATTTTATGATAGTCGCAGTGAAATAGCCAAATCATTCCCTCTAATGTTGCATGAAGTTCAACCACATTAATCAAATCTAAGCTCTACATCTATCAAACCTATGAAGGACCTCAAGAAGGAAATCCAATTTATCCAATCATAAGCTGTACATTTGTCAAGATAATCACCATATAGTCATTGCTTAGTCGAGCCCAGTGTAACACATGAGCCGACTTTGAACTTAAGAATGTTGTTGGGCATACAACGATGTGGAGCAAATGCTCCTTGCTCAGGAAAAAAAGAGCTGACATAAAATGTAAAATGTCTTCAAAATGTTAACTAAAAGCATTGCCATTACTTTATAAATGGAATTTCATAAGCTAATTGGAAAAAATGTCCATTCTTTGAAGGCTTGGACACTTTTAGAAGGACAAAAATATAAGTATGACGTCAATTGGTATGCATATGGATCAAAAAGAAGAATGAAAAAAGAAAAGTTCAAACCTCCTCATAAATAATAGGCCAATAAGGTTGGAAAAAATATGTCAGAAATCTATCTAGTTTTGGTGCCCAATCAAGAGTCATACCTCGAATACAATACTCAATTTACGATCCTACATCAATTGTAAGTTTATTATTCCAACTTTCATCCATTATTTAGGGCAAAAATGATAAGTGAAAAAGATTGGTTGGTTCATCATAAAACCACTTGTCTTGAATGAAGTTCAAAATAATTGAATTTGTCGATAGAATTAGAGTTTTTCTCCAGCATCCTTAACAGTTTTTAAATTTTGATTATGTCACTGATGAGTTGTAACACTCGAATAACAAAACAATATTGTAATCCCCATCCTTCAACCACCTCAAACACAATTGCTTCATCCACATAATCTCAAACTTGATACATAAACATTAAGAGCAGGAAAGAGCTGTGGATATCAAAATGGCAAAAGTATCATCCTCAGCTCCAGCATCTGTAATTCGGAAAAAAAATTCTCAAGAGACTAAAACTGGAGTTGTCTGGGTTAATGTATCATCTCTTGTTAGCATAATTAGTGCTAACAAGTTTTTAAGGGAGCTGTTCAACTAGATTTCCTTTACATATGGTGTTCTAAGCTTTGAGTGATCACTTCACATGAAGAAGCAAAAGAAAGCCAAACATTCTCAAACAAAAAAAAATTATTATCAAATTGTTGGTAATCTAACAAATGGTGTTCTAAGGTTTAGGTTGGATAATAATAATAGAAAAAGTTAAGAGTACATGCATTGAAGATGAAAAATAAAAAAATTGGATATGCATTAAGCCAAGCAGAAAAGCCAAAACTTTATCCTACTAACCTAAACCTGTCTCAAGCCTTCCCATATTATTACACCAAGTGAATGAAGATCCCACAAAATTAAAATTATAAAAATCATTACCTTGAATAAAATCTTGAAAATCAAAGGTATCTCAATCAATCATAAACATTCTTGTACCTATTTTTTGTTTGCATATACAATAAAAATAACCAACTAAAAAAAAAAACCGGCGGTCTTTAAATGATGTACTAGGGTATAAAGTGATCATAACTCTAGCTATAATAGTATAAATTCCTATAAGAAACCATACTAACTTCTCTCTGATAGAGATAATGCCACAAAACAATTGACAATTCATCCAAATAAATTCACTATAAATCAGACATCTATTAAAAACTAATACCTCCACCCCAAAATATATAATACCCAAAAATATTCAAAATAATGTCCGCATAAGCTTTTTCTAAATATTCATTTAATTTCATTAAATTTTACTTGTAATTCCAAACATTTTGACATATATAAGTATACGTAAATTACTAATCTAATATATGCATAATTATTAAATTTTTGTAACAGCTACTTTAAAACTAAGTTAAACTAAATTAAATAACTATTAAATTATAGTAAAAGTTAATTAACATTTAACAATCAACAACCACGTTACATTTTATATTATTATTATCACTGTAGCTGTAATCACTTAACACGTCAATGGATGGATTAAATCATGCAGCTGGGAGAAAATAGAAGGTTATTACTGGAGCATTAGTGCACCTAGTGATAATATTATATTAAGATAATTGCTGAAGCATTAAATACAGCCATTTGTTCTTTTTTTCCTCCCTATTCATGCGTGAGAAGCAGCAACTGTGCAGGCCATGGGAATATGGGATAGCGGGGAGCTGAAGGAAGCGGGCTGCTGTGTGGAGCTGAATTTTGCAACTGATTGCTGGAATTTGGTAAGACAGCAGAGTGTGTTTATGATTAGGAATTCTACGATTAGTAAGAACAACTAGTGATGTTGTATGCTACTGTAGTTGTTGAATTAGTGTGTATGTGCTGAAATTAATGGCTGGAATTCAGTAATTCTGTAAAGAATTTCTGAAATAAAGCAATTTTTGAATGCTAGATGTTACTAATGGCTGAATTTCTTATATGCCGAAACCAGTTGTTGAATTCAGTAGGAAAAGGAAGAGATTAGGGAGGAGAATAGGAAAAATTTTGGGTTGAATGAGAAAGAGTGCATTTGAGGTTGTTTATAAACAAAAAAATTGGCCGGGGTTTCGGAGAGCATCACCGAACTGCCTTAGAGAACGAGGTGAGATACTCAAAATATGTATAGAAAATATTATAAATTTTATACATTTGCAAATTCATATTTGTTATGTTTATTAAAATATTTATTTCAATTTACTCCACTATTCATATATGTGAATTATTGAATCACTAAGTAGTAACAATTACATTAGTACGGTATGATTATGAAAATGGACATGAAAATGGAAGAGAGTATAAAAGTAAAATAAGTCATATATGGGGTATAGACCTGCACAAGTAAAGGAGAAAGACCTGACGAGATAAGCCTAAATTATCTAAATTCTAAAAGTTGGGAATTCGGATCCAACCTTGAATGGGAGAACAGCTTCAATTCTAAAAGTTGGTAATTCAGACCGAATATTGAATTAGAAAGATGAAAAAATGCAAAAACTTAAAGTCATCATATGACTTGTCTAAAGGTATTGAACAGTAAACAAGATAGAATGTAATGTTATGCATTTCTTATACATGTTGACGCACATTTTCGTATCGCTTCGATCGAAGGTCATCAAGACGAAATTGACTCAAATCAAACCTCGATTTAATTAAATTAAATCAAATTAATTTAATTTAAATCAAATCAATCCAATTCAAACCCCGTCGAGCGTCGTCGAGTTCAATTCGGCGCGATTCGGCACCGATTCGAGTTCAATTTCATGAAATTAAATTGATTGAACCCAATCGG